TGGCAGTTTCCCACTACTGCCAATCCCTTTCTTATAGTATTACGATAGTTGTTCAAGGTCCACTTATGAGTGAGAATATGTGATACTCCAATCTTTGTTTCTGTGATAGATCACTCAGTATTACAGCCTCTAATTCCACCCAAGTTGCTGCAAAGTTCCTAACTTTGTCTTTCTTTATGGCTGTGTAATATTCCATCATGTATACGTACCACATTTTTTATCCAGACCTCTTTTGACGGGCAGCACAGTTGGCTCCATGTTCTTGCTATTGTGAATAATACTGCAATGAACATACATGTGCAGGCATCTTTTTTATAGAGAGATTTGAGTTCCTCCGGGTATATTCCCAGTAGGGGGGTTGCGGGGTTGTACGGGAGGTCAATTTTTAGATCTTTTAGGAATCACCACACTGTTTTCCACAGAGGCTGTACTAGTTTATACTCCCACCAACAGTGTAGCACAATCCCATTCACAATAGCCACAAAAAAAGTGAAATACTTTAGCATCTTTCTAAGCACTGTGCTTTTATTTTATTTTATTATTATTATTTTTTTTTTTGAGTTGGAGTCTCACTCAGTCGCCCAGACTGGAGTGCAGTGGCTGCTCCCGGCCACCGCAGCCTCGACCTGCTGGGTGCCAGCGATCCTTCCGCCTCAGCCTTCCAAGTAGCCAGAACTACAGGTGTGCGCTACCACGCCCGGCTGATTTTTTGATTTATTGTAGAGATGAGGTCTCGCCAAGTTACCCAGGCGGGTCTCGATCCCGCAGGCTCAGGCAATTCACTCACCTCAGCCTCCCAAAGGCGCGGGATTACAGGCTGAGCCACCGAGCCCGGCTAGCACTGTGCTTTTAAAGGGAACTTCATCTACACCATAGTTACAAGGCTTTGGTTCTGAGACAACTGAAGAATAATTCAGCTCATCACATATTCACTGAACTCTTCGTGTTCAGAGGCCTCTCTAGAAGTCAGTTTACTGATCTCTTTACATTAACTTAAAAAAAAAAATGGAACTATTATGGAATGTTCAGGTCACCAAAGATTTTTGCTGTTCGTTGGTTTCTCCCTTGAAACTCCAGTGTTTGGCCTTCCGTAAAGGAAGCCTGAATCCCAGTGACAATTTTTTTTCTGAGTTGCTGCATATGACCAGGTAGAAGAGCTTTAAGTGTTTTAAGGCCAAGTGGTGATCTTTTACAACTACAGTTCATGTGCTTGATTCCAGATTTTTGTGACTTGTTTTTCGGTTTTCTTTTTTTTTGTTGTTGAGGTCTTACTCTGTCACCCAGGCTGGAGTGCAGTGGCACAATCACAGCTCACCACAACTTCCAACTCTTGGGCTCTAGCGATCCTTCTGCCTCAGCCTCCCAAGTAGCTGGGGCTACAGGCATGCACCACCAGGCCTGGCTAATTTTTTGTAGAGTCGAGGCCTCACTGTGTTGCCCAGGCTGGTCTCAAACTCCTGGGATCACGCAGTCCTCCTGCTGCGGTCTCTCAGGTTGCTGGGATTACAGGTGTGAGCCAGCTGTGACTTTTCTTATAAGCAGATAAAATGAATACTTTAAAAATCCCAGCCACTTTTTTGAGCAGTTAGATCTGGTTGTCTAATTAGTGAACACATATGGGCAAGATGGGATCTTCTCCATAAACCTGGAGAAGTACAGTAAGATGCCTCTAGTTTTGGGATATAGCCTGGGAGGAAGTAGAGAGGACTTTGTCCCTACAGTGCTGGAGGGAGAAGGGAGTCAGCATCTTTGCCATTTGAGTTTGGGATATTGTGCACTTGGTGTCCGATGACCTCTTATTAATCCTGTCTTTTAAACTTTTGCCCTTAGTCCAAGCCAGAACCGCCCATCTACAGTCCAGTGGCTTAACCCACAGTCTCCAACCACGCCAAGCTCCAACCCAGCCGTGACACCTCCTTCACCCAGGTCACCTCCTTTCCTCGCCTCTCCTCCAGCCACCATAGCGGACAAGCCACTCGAAAGGTATGTGGCTTGGAGTCTGATGTGGAACGTGGAGCCCGGCACGCAGGGAGGCTTGATGCACCCAAGTGGGTTCATGTGTTCTGCTCAGGTTCCCCTGGCGTCTTGGACTCTATGGGTCGCATCTATTTTTATTTATTTATTTGTTTATTTTTTGAGTCAGAGTCTCACTCTGTTACCCAGACTGGAGTGCGGTTGTCGCTTCCAGCCACCGCAGCCTCAACCTGCTGGGCTCTGGCTATCCTTCCACCTCAGCCTCCTGAGTAGCCGGAATTACAGGCATGCGCTACCACGCCCGGCTGATTTTTCGATTTATTGTAGAGATGAGGGCTTGCCAAGTTGCCCAGGCGGGTTTTGAACCCGCGGGCTTAGGCAATCCACTCACCTCAGCCTCCCAAATCGTGGGATTACAGGCTGAGCCACCGAGCCCAGCTGTGGGTCACATTTACAACCTTGTATCGGGGCTGGGCCTCATTCAGTTCAATAGCATGTCCTTTGGAGACATTTGCCTTACATGAGACCTGCTTGAACCTACTCTGTCTTTTTGGTGCTAGTTGTACAGTTAGGAAATGATTTATTTGGGGAGAACTTTGTGTATATGCATAGAAAGTACATGATTTGTTTCAAAGGAAGGCATCCTGGCACTGGAAGCATTAACTTCCATGGCTATTGGTGGCCAGTTCTGTAGAGGACAGAGGTCCCAGCCTTTAGCCAAGTCCTTCCACCCGTTCGTGGCTGAGATGTTTCTTTCTATGAGTGACTTCTGCTACCCTGGGGGGGGGGGGCAGCGCATTTCCTTCTGCTCTGATTGGATCTGCCTAAAAGCATGGTCTCCATCCTTCCCCGACGTGTTCTTTTCCCTCAGGGACACAGATGATGTTTCTATAGATGAAGATAAGCTGATTCTGGTGGCTTTTCTAGGGGTGGAAGGATGGGGGTCTGAATATACAAGACCATGGCCAAGTGCAGTGGCAAACACCTTTAATTCCAGCACTGTGAGAGGCTGAGGTGGAAGGATTGTTTGAGCCTAGGAGTTCAAGACCAGCCTGGGCAACATAGCTAGACCTCTTCTCTAAAAAATAAAAATAAAAAAATTAACTGCCCGTGGTGTTGCATGTCTGTTGTCCCAGCTACTCAGGAGGCTGAGGCAGAAGAATTGCCTGAGCCCAGGAGATCGAGACTGCCGTGAGCCATGATTGTGCCACTGCCCTGCAGCCTGGGCGACAGAGTGAGACTTTGACTCCAGACAAACAAATAGAAAAATAAATAAATAACTATAGAAGACCCAAGTAAGATCAACAAGCCCCTGGAGGGGCTGAGGAATACCTTCCAGATAGAGTTGGGTCAGTGGTTTATTGCTGAGCCCATTTGGTGTTTCCCTGCTTCCCTGGCCCCCAGCTGGCCCTGTATCTCCAGATGCTGGTGGCTTTCCTACCAGACATACGGAAGCGCTTGGAAGGAAACATGCCTGTGGTTCTGATGATCGTGAGCGGTGGGAGAGGGTATCCTGCCGGGCAGGGAGTAGAAAGAGGTGAATTGACTGACAGCCAGCTTCTCCGAGAGGCTCCTGCGGAAAGGTGTGAACTTGAAACCCAACATTGACCTAAACATCGAGCACTGGGGCTCAGCCTGATGTTCACTTCCCTGCTCATTTCTTTTCTGGGAGGAGCTGCCCCACTGGTGACATACACAGGATTTGGGAAATGGGGGCGGGGGGATGGCAAGGTGTTTCTCTTCCGCTTTTTCACATTCTCGTGCGTACCTCTCCCTTTCCCTTCCAGCGTCGTTAACCGGAAGGCCCGAGCAGTGTATCCGTGTGAAGCAGAACACAGCTCGGAACTGTCCTTTGAAATAGGAGCCATTTTTGAGGATGGTAAGTGTTGGGGGAGCTCTGTGGTAGGATACATTCTGCCATTCCAGAATCTCTACAACACAGAGGGATGGGGCAGTCACCGATTGTGCTATTGTCGGGCAGGCTCATCTCTCCCTTGGCGCCTTGGACAGGAGCATTTGGCTCCCGGATCCTGAACCCCAGGGACTGTCTGCTGATGGCTGGACCATGGCTCTGCTTTCCTCTTTTTTAAAAAAATGTATTATTTTATAGGCAGGATCTCCCTCTGTCACCCAGGCTGGAGCACAGTGGCATGGTCACAGCTCACTGCAGCTTCAGCCTCCTGGGCTCAGATGATCCTCCTGCCTCAGCCTCACCACCATGGCCAGCTACTTTTTGAATGTTTTGTAGAACTGATGTCTCGCTATGTTGCCCAGGCTGGTCTCAAGCAGTCCTCCCGTCGTGGGCTCCCACAGTGCTGGGATTACAGACTTGAGCCACCGTGTCCGGACTTGCTTTCCTCTTGCTTGTTCTCCAAGCCTTCTCACTCTTGCGGGTCTTCGTTCAGGTCACTTTCTCCTGAGGAAAGAAGACTTGAAGTTGAGAAATATTTCTGATTTGCATCCTTTGTTTTCCTTGTTCTTCCAGACTCCTCATGCAAGCCTCCTAAATGCTGCAGGTTGGGCAGATCTGAGTTGTCAAAGAATATCGTGCTCAACAAATTTTGATTTCTGGTTCCCTTTCCATTTTTGTACTTTATATTTTTGCTAATCTGAACAGTGCGTGAGTCTCCAGGTATTGGTTAATGACTTTGCATATTGAAATAAGGGTGTAGCTTTCAGAGTATCTGATGTTCATACACAAGTATTTATGAGCTGTGCTTGGTTTAATATTTCAGAAAGTTCTCCTGTGGTTCAGTGTATTTTTTCCCCTGCTCTTGATTCCTTCCCTCTCCAGTCCTGCTCATTATGAAATTCATTGGTTGCTGTGGAAACGGTGATGTCGTGTGTGGGTGGAGCTTCCCAGAAGAGTTCTGGGGAAGCAGTGGGAACCTTAGATGCTTGGAATGGAATGGTTGATCAGCCAGAATGTTTGGAATATATGGAATATATCAACATGAGGCACAGTGGTGTATTGTCAGTAATGCAGCATTTGCTGACGATTGTTTTTTAGAAAGCAAGTTGCCTCATTTAGAATAGATTTCTATATGTGTGTGCTACGTACTCTCGAGAGCCAGAGACTCCTGGTAGTGTCAGAAAACAAACAACAACAACAAAAACCCACATACAACAGAATTATACTCTGTGGAGAAATCTTGCTCTTGAGTAGAAGTAAGATAATTCCTCTATCACCATAACATACACACATACAAATTTTCCAGGGCAGTTTGGTAAAAGAGCTGCCCTGCCCTGGGCCTGACACATACTGACATACCATATGGCCAAAGGGAAAGCGGAGATGGTAGTATTGAAACTCATCCATCTGAGAAATAATGGTGAATTTGCATTTTGTATGATTGTGTTTGTTCAGAAACCTCTGAAGACCCTTACGGCAACATGGTTTGTGAGATAGTTAGCTTGGTAGAAGGTGTTTCTGTGAGGATGCTTTAGGCTGCAAGTAACAAAAACGGACACAACTGTCTATGTTAATCTTGAAAATGGATTAGCTAAAGCCAGGTATAGTGGAAAGCACTTGGAATCCAAGCTACTCAGGAGGCTAAGGTGGGAGGACCTCTTGAACCAGGAGTTGAAGGCCAGCCTGAGCAACATAGTGAGACCCTGTCTCAGTAAAAATGGGTTATCTTACACAGCAGTAAGTCTGGAAGTAGGGAGCTTCAGGGTTTATTAATTCATATTCTCCAAAAAAGTCATCAAAGACCAAAGCATTTCTGTCTCTCTGTCAAACCATTCTCAGCTTGCAGACTTGGGCCTCTGGCTGGTTTTCCCTGATGGGGAGCAGTATGGCTGCCACAAGCCCCATACAGGATGGCCACACTCATCCTCGTGTTTCTTTAAGAATGAAAAATGTTTTCCAGAATTTCCTTCCTAGTTTAGTTCCCCCCCACCCCATGTCCCAGTAGCTAGAGCTGGGTCATATGCTTATCCCAAACCCCATCGCTGACAAAGACTCAGACCCATCAGAGCCACGCTGGGCATAGCATACCTCCTCTGCCATGTCATGAAAGTCAGTACCTAAACGAAATGCAGATCTGCCACCTTGAATAAAAGGAGACAGGTTGGTAGGTGTTTAACCCACGAGACTTAAGTCGTCCAGCTTTAAAGTCCCTAAGTGACTTGCAGAAGTCTTCCTAAAAAGGGGGTGTACATGTGTACCATATACATGGACATGTCCTTTTAGTTACATAAACACACAAATACAGTATTTCAGGGTGTTTCTGGAAGAGGAAAGCCATTGACAGCAGGTAACTATGTAGTTCTGCGGTTACTTTGAGATCAGACCTTGGCTTTTCGACTTTCTGTGTGGTCCTGGGCAGCTTCTTTAAGTACGCTATGCATCGGATTATTCATCCTCATCCTTGGTGACGTCCACACGATGGATGTTGGGTCAACACAGCATTTGGGACTACTAGAAGATAGGTCACAGACATCTGTTGCTGACCGCGGTGCCATTCTGGGTGCATCATGGTGGGCCACAGAAGTGGCTGCATTTTGAGCCACGCCGTGTCTCCCTCAGGCTCTGTATTCTGTAGTGCCGGTGTCCAGCTCTTTCTGGACTTGGCTAACTGGGGCACCCAGAGTGTGTCAGCCGTTCCTCAGCCCATCCCCCAAGGCTGGCCCCTCGAACAATGCCTTGTTGATGAGTTGACACTCTCCTTCCCTCTCCCCACCCAGGTATGTAAGTGTCTCATTTTGGGTGAGCCATGCATCTTGTAGGTGCTTCCCTGAGTCTTCTGTGGCATGCAGATATGCATAGTGGAGGGCGTTCAGCGTCAGCCCCATTAGACTCTGCTTACAAGGGGCAGTTCTTAAAGGGCACAGTGAGTCAAAGGTCCCACACAGAGTTTTTTTGGGGTGTGTGTGTTTGCATCCTCATCTTCTGTGCATAGTTGATCGCTCAGCTGGTTAAGAATATGTGTCAACCCAGAACGCGTTCAGTGAAGCCCTCCCTCAAACGACTGTGGGGTCTTTCCTTCTGACAACTGACGTTTAGCAAGACTGACTGGCAGACCATCCGACCACAGCTTCTGTGGAGCCAGGCAGTGCTCCAAGTGGCCACTATTTACAACTCAGCCACAGGAGAGTTGCCAGGAACCACTCCTGTTCTATAGACCGGCAGTGTGCAATGTCCCAAGACGTTTTTTTCCTGTGCTCACTTATCCATTTGGAATCTTCCAGCATCCACAGGTGTTCTTGCAGTGCAATGCCATTTTGTACCTCATGCAGGCAACAAAGGAAATCGCTTTAAGGCATTCAGTGGGCTTTGGAGAAAACAAAATCGAGGTCAGCGTGACCCCTGGGCTGCATTGCCAGGGTTATGTGGTTTGGAATATACACAGCAGTGAGAAATCCTAAACCAGAGTGTGGAAGATATAGGGACTTTAGTGATGACGTGGCTCCATGATGGTCCTTGATTTTTGCTCTTACTGAGTGGGCCTGGACCTAAGTTACGAGTTCAGATTCTAGGCTGAAGATTTGTTTCCCTCCCTCCCTCCCTCTTCCTTTCTCTCCCTCTCTCCCCTCTTCCTCCCCTCCCTCTGTCTCCCAGGCTGGAGTGCAGTGGCACAATCACAGCTCACTACAGCCTTGACCTGCTAAGCTCAGGTGATCCTCCCACCTCCGACTCCTGAATAGTTGGGACTACAGGAACATGCCACCATGCCCAGCTAATTTTTTTACCTTTTTTTTTTTTTTTTTTTTTGTAGAGACGAGGTTTCACTGTGTTGTCCAGGCTGGTCTCAAATTCGTGGGCTGAAATGATCCTCCCATCTCAGCCTCCTAAAGTGCTGGAATTACAGATGTGAGCCACCACACCTGACCCTGAAGCTGTGTTTCTATAGTGGACACACCAATGCCTGGCCATTGCTTTTGGGAAATGCCTCCCACGTTCCCTCGGGTGGGCCCTGTTTATAAAGTGTCAGAGCAGTGGATGTTCCTGTGACTGCCAAAGGGACCCTTCCCTTCTCTCTGCAGCTGGGAACCTCAGAAATGCATTTTGCAGGTGATCAGTCAGTCCTCCTCTCTTTCCAGACAAGTGTCACTGCAGCTGCTGGACCCTGCAGTCTGATGGGGGTGGTTGCCCTCCCTAGGGCTGCCTGGCAGGATGGAGGGGTCACTGGGGCAGGAGCATCATAGAGCTGCTTTTCTGCATGGCCCAGGCACGTTGGTGGCTTTCACGTGTAGACAGAATCTCTTCATTGCTGAGGGAGCAGGTGTGGCCCAGGTTAATCCCTGAAAGTCCCTTGTGATTACACTTTAAAGGTTTCCGACAGACACAGAGTAATCATTGGAAGACAATTTGGCATTATCTTGGAAAGTGGATCGTGTATAGAGCACACAACCCAACAACTTGGAGTCCTCAGTACATTCCTTACATGGGGAAATCTTAGAAAAAGCGCTAAGTAAAAAAATACCTACGAGACGACTAGATACGAGATTCTGGTTAAGCTCAGAAAAGGGATATTTCTGTATAAGTAGGAGATTTATGCAACAGGATAGCATTGGGGATATGTACTTGTGGGATTAAACCTTATTTTAACCATAGCTGAGGTAAGATCATGAGAAACACAACTTTAAAGCTACTGCTCAACTCAGGAGGGAGCTAGACAGAGCCTAGGACCAACCTCCCTCGTCGTCCTGTGGCAGTCCTGAAGTTGCCCGTGGGTTCCTGGTATTCATTGTATTGTGACGATGCTTTAGTAATTTAAATATCTGTTGTGTCTAGTGTTTCTATTAGCTGGAATGGGTCTTCACTCTTTGGTGCTAGTTAAGGTCCTCGCTCACACCTGTCTTGGCGCATGCCGTGGTCTTCCAGCATGAGGCTGGCAAGGGTTCTGAGGCCGAAGGAGGCAAGCACAGCGGAGGACGTGTGGGAAATGCCAGGCACCGAGCCTGCCATGTCCTACACCCACAAACACAGAAAAGTAAACCCCGCCATCCATGCAGACAGCTCTCTGGGGAGGAGTAGTTTGGTCAACAAAGTACAGAGAGGAGCGTGGTCGGCAGGCCTCGACACGACCAGGATGGCCAGATCTTCAGAGAGGGAGGAGACCCTCTTGGCCTCACGTGCAACTTTCCAGCCATCTTTTCTGTGCCCAGGGACACCTAGCTATTGCTGCTCCGGACTCTTCCAGGCTCTTGGGTATTCTAGGAGCCTCCCTGGTTCCCTCCCTAAGGCAGTAACATTTTTCGCCTTCCTGGCTCCTGCCTTCCAGGGAGGTGAGGGTTGAGGAGGTGGTGAGTGGGGATGTGACAGGTGTTTCTAGTCTGTTGGTGGGGGTGGGGCAGGATTCCCGGCCTAGCGTTGGGTTCCCCATTTCCGCCTCCTTTCACTCTCAGCCTTGTGGGAAGACACTTGTTGTCTTTTTCTGTTTGGCCTGTCTTCTGTTAATGCCTAATCACTGTGTGCAGGGGTGTGTGTATAGGAGAAGTAGCATGCATGTGCAGATTAGACTGTTTTATTGATTCCACCGCAGGTCCTACAAGCTAAGTGCTGGCATCCCTGTGGGTGCAGGGGAAGAGACGGAGTGAGGATTGGGGGTCCAGTCACTTCCTGGGTGCACCCAGCTAGCCAGGAGTCTCCTTCAGGCCCCTGACACCAGCCCTGGCCCCTTTCCACTGAAGCGCTCACTTGACTACAACCCCAGGGGCACCTTTTGCATAAAATCCAAGCTCTTTCCCTGATGGCAGCAGCACACTGGTGGCATTGGCTGCATGCTGGTAGCATTGGCCACATACTGATGGCATTGGCTGCACACTGGTGGCATTGCCAGCCTGGGCATCTGGAGGAAGTGAGAAGCCTTTGAAAATCCTGATGAGAGTAGCGATGTCAGGGCAGAGGTCATTGAGTGTGTGACTTGCTACCTGGTCACTTTGAAAGCACCCTTGGATTCGTTTCCTCATTCATTATGTAATTGTGCATCCAACATTGTGCCAGGCACTGGGGGACACCAGGTCTCGTGTCATCCATGTTAGAGCCTAGAACGGAAGAAAGAGTCTCAATCCCTCTGAATCATGGAATGTGTGGGGTATACAGCTGGGGGCCCCAGCATGGTCTGGAGCGTTGGGAGGAGTCACGGAGGGAGGGGACGCTGAAGCTGGTATCCAAGGGTCGAGTGGGCACTCTAGGCATCAAGACAACAGAAGGCCAAGGCAATGCAGTCAGCCAGGATGTATACTTATTTCAACCCAGGACGGGATGAGCAAATGGCGATCTGGTGAAGAGGAAAGTGAGAACTGGGTTGTCAGCACTTGAGCCAAGAAGTCAAGGCTGCAGTGAGCTACAAGCGCACCACGGCACTCCAGCCTGGGTGACACAGCGAACTCCTGTCTCCAAAAAATAAAAAAGAATTTGATTGTCAGAGTCATCCAAACTGTGAGGGTTGGGGAGGGTGCTACACATCCGTGGACCATGAACTCAATGTGCTGGATTGCAGTCAGCATTCAAAAAATAATAACTACTTAGCTACACATGCCCCCTTTATTATTCTTCTATTAATAAATAATAGAAAACAAGGCTGGTCGGGCACAGTGGCTCACGTCTGTAATCCCAGCACTTTGGGAGGCCAAGGTGGGAGGATTGCTTGAACCCAGGAGTTCAAGACTAGCCTGGGCTGCATAGTGAGACTGTGTCTCTACAAAAAATAATTAAAAAAAAAATTAACCAGGCATGGTGGTGCATGCCTGTAGTCCCTGCTACTCGGGAGGCTGAGGTGGAAGGATCGCCTGAGCTCAGGCATTGAAGGCTATGATGAGCCATGGTTGTGCTCTATAGCCTGGGCAACAGAGTGAGACTTCAACTCCAAAACAAAACAAAATATAGAAAGAAGGCATTGCACGTAGTGAGGGTAAGTATTGCTTCATGGAACTCGTGTATGTTATGTGCGTGTGTGCGTGTGCTTGGTTTCGGACATGAACTTGTTCTCATGGATTAGGATCCGAAGCTGAGTCCCTCGGCCAGGTAGCCCACAGCACCCCTCCGAAGCCCTTTACATGCGCGAATGACACTCCTGCTCCCCACCGTGGCTGGGGTCAGAGCTGGGGCCTGTTCACAGCGGGGGGTTCCAGAATGCTTCTATATTGGATTTTTTTGTTGTTGTTGTTGGAATCTTACTCTGTCGCCCAGACTGGAGTGCAGTGGCATGCTCTCAGCCACCGCAGCCTTGCCCTGCTGGGCTCTGGCGATCCTTCCGCCTCAGCCTTCCACGTAGCTGGAACTACAGGCATGCGCTACCACACCCAGCTAAATTTTTTTGATTTTATTGTAGAGATGAGGTCTCGCCAAGTTGCCCAGGTGGGTCTCAAACCCCTGGGCTCAGGCACTCCACTTGCCTCGGCCTCCCAAAGTGCTGGGATTACAGGCTGAGCCACCGAGTCCGGCCTTGTATTGGATTTCAAACCCTCATGATGTGTGCTTGCACCCGCGTCCTTTGCTGTTCAGTGGGTGGCCATTCTCTTAAGGCTCCATCGTGGGCATTTATGGAGACCTACAGTGTGCCAGGTACTGTGCCCAGGTGTGTAAGGCCTAGGTCTGTCTTCAGGAGCTCCCTGTCCAATATGGGGGTCAGACCAGTTCCCAGACAATACCCGTGAGGCATGAGAGTGCTGCAGGGATTGAGGAAGACTGTCCAGAGAAGGAAGCAGCCAGTTGGTTTCTTAACCTGGTGAAGAAGGGAGGAAAAGTCAATCCAGGTGGAAGCACTGCACATGGGAAGGCTGGGGATCCCAGCTGGGCTTTCTCTGGGCGGTTCTCTGTGACTGATGTGGATGGTGCATGAGTGGAGGGGCAGGCTTCCGGAGAGGTGGGTGGGGCCAGGTGCCCAGGTGCCTGTGCCCCAGAACAATAAGACGCTTGGTTTTGACTTGAAGCTGGCATGCCACCCCAGCCTGCATGTTCACTTATCTTCTGGGGGAATGGAGGCAGGAGAATAATGTGATCAGCTCTGTATTCTAGAAAGTTCACTGAGCAATTCTATGCGCAACGGAAGAGGCCAGACTGGAAACTGGGAGACTAGTTAGGAGGGAGCTGTAGGAAGACAGGTGAGGACTGTGGTGGCCAGTACACAGAGACAGAGCCTGTCAGTGGCCCTGGCGCAGCCTTTGTGACGGGACATCCCAGGAGTGGGCCCCAGGCTCCACTCACTGGCCACCCCCTGGATGAGACACAGCAGCACAGCGGATACTAGGAGGCATGAACTTGGAGGCATTTTGGTGAAAAGTGATTTCTCTTCCTTTTCAGTGCAAACCTCGAGGGAACCCGGCTGGCTGGAAGGGACTCTGAATGGCAAGAGGGGGCTGATTCCACAGAATTATGTGAAGCTGCTATAGCTCCCAGCTCCTGAGAACCCCCCCGTTGACCTGGCACCCGAGGACCTGCCTGGACCTCCTTGCGCCTCCTGGGCTCAGAGCTGCACCCACAACCCACCTCTACACCTGGGAATTACGAATCACAATCAACCCTGGGGGTGGGGAAGGGTGGGGCGGACACACCCCACGAACTGTGCAGATTTGTGGGTCAGGAGGAGAAAGTCAGGATTCGCAGATTGAACTTTGCATTTGTCAAGCGTGGGGACTTGCGATGCTTAACTCTCCAGCCTATAGAGTGGGAGGGAGGACATCCTTCTGCTGCCTACCAACCCCTCCGGTGGTCACACCACCAGACGCCCCCTCCCCCACGTCCCCTCTCCTCACCGAGCGCCTGCTGCTGAGATGTTAAAGGGAACCATATTCCATGCAGTGTTATGTTTGCAGGGTGCGCGCTTGGCTCTGGTGACACCTGGCGTGGCTCCTGGTACCAGGGGAAACAGTCTCGAGCCAGAGGGAGACAGAGAGATGCTCTTTTCAAGCCAGACAGCCACTCCGGGGACCGCATGCTCACTGCCCCCAGCCAGAGCACACAGCGGCTGTGTCCTTGGTGCTCCTCACCTGTGTGATGTTTTCTAAACACCACCTTTATGCCTCAAAGTCTTGTACATGAAATAAAATGTCATTTACTATTTGATTGGTCTGTCCTGAGGTGGGAAAGAGATCCTGGCGCTTGTCCCCCCATCATGATCTGTGACTTGGCAGCCTGCGATGGGAACCTGCTTTCCCTCTGAGAATGGGACACACTCCCAGGTGGAATTTGTTCAGGGAACCAGGAGTGTTCACAGCAAGCGGAATCCTGGAGGGGACCCTCCAGCCAGCTGCGCAGGCCTTTCCCCCAGTGGCCTGCAGGACCCTGAGCAGGGCGGGGCCCTGCCCCCTGTAGTCTGCATGAGTTGCGTTCATGTTGTTGAGGCCCCCTCTTTAACTGGCTTTGTTGGACACCCCTTCCCACACCACCCGGCTGCCCGTCTTCCAGATTGCAGTGAATCTCTCCATCTGGACTGATCTGCGGGGAGAGTCTGAGGCTGGCGCTCGGGCATTCGGATGGTCCCCGGAGGAGTCTCAGCCCTTGGCCCTGCACCTGCGTGTGCACCCGAGGCTGATGGCCGCCCTCAGCGTGGGCAGACCCTGCTCTGACGGTCCTCCTTCCCCTCCCTCAGAGGACTGTGGAATGTGGAGCTTAGTCTTAGCGCCCCCAGGACGCTGAAGCCAGCCCCACGCCAGAGACGACTCAGGGGCCTGGCATATCTGCTCCTGGGAGGTTCCTGGACCTGTCAGACTTCTCAAGAATGTATCAAAAGAAGGATGTGTCTGTTACTGCTTCCCCAGATGAACTGATTCAAGAGCTTGATTCAAGAGCTTGCGGGGTAACAGCTTTGAAGTCACCTCATGTGGACCATGTGAGGATGTCGACTCAGGAGTCATAGTGTACAGGGGACTGTGCCTACTGAAAAGTGTCCATGGTGTTAGTAAGCAGAAGGACAGTCTCAGTGCAGTGTGATTGAAAACACTGAGCCAGGGGCCCAGTGGAGCGGGTTGAGACTGGAGGTGCCTGGGGTCGCCCGAGGTCTGGGCAGGGGCCTGCTTGACCCTGGGGCTGGGGTGACATGGCTGTCAGGGTCTTGTTTTCTAAGCTTTCATTTCCAGCCCCTGCTTGCCACTTAGGGGATGTAGAAGGGAAATTTGGATGTGGGAAGAGTTGGCCGCTGTGTCCCACTTCTGTGAAAACCTTCTATAGGAAAAGGCAAACTCTGGGCAATTATAGTGGGCTGGGAGTAAGTTCTTGGCCGTATTCCTATTGATGTGTCTCCAGGGGCCATTACAAATAAGACTCCCTGCACCAGGACTTGATTTGTTTGCTTGAGGAAGATTTCTGTTGTTCGCAATGCAATCCGTCCAACTTGTCACAGTGTGCTTTCCCCACCACTTGGTGAAGGACATCACCACTAAGTCTGGCAACCTGTGTGACCCTGGGCAAGATAAGTCACCTGTCTGAGTCTTTTCCCACCTCCTGAACGTGAACCCCAGAGGTTTGGGGTTGAAATGACCTAATAGATGTTTGTGGTATGTGCTCAGTTCATGGGAAATGCTATTGTTATTTTTATTGATTCTTTTTCTTTCCTTGAGTTGGAGTCTTACTCTGTCACCCAGACTGGAGTGCAGTTGCACTGTTCCAGCCACCGCAGCGTAGTCCTGCTGAGCTCAGGGATCCTTCCACCTCAGCCTTCAAGTAGCTGGAACCACAGGCACATGCCACCATGCCCGGCTAATTTTTTGATTTATTATGGAGATGAAGTCTTGCCAAGTAGCTCTTTCTGCAGGCTGGTCTCAAACCCCTAAGCTCGGGCAGTCCTCTGGCCTCTGCCTCCCAAAGTGCTGGGATTATAGGCATGAACCACCGCGCCTGGCCCCTTTATTCTTACTGATACCATTGAGACTTGCATCTTTGCTATCTTTGTGTTCCGCAGGACAGGACAGGGTGACAGTAGTGACGTGCTACAAAGCTCCCTGTGGCCTCAAGCACTGGAGACCCCTCCTGTGGTTATCCGGGGAAAGGGAAGAGAGGGGTTGTACCAGAGGGGTTCAGGGGTGCTCCCTCATGACCCACGAGCACCAGTGTGGCCTGGTTGCCAAGGCCTCCGGGGGTGTGGCCCAAAATATTCTTAGGAATGGGATCATGAGGTGTTCTTACCTTGGTGGATCATCTTCGTTTCCCCAGGAGGGAAACTGGATGTGTGTGGCTGTTTTATTTCTGGGGAGTGGGGTGTGGCTGACATCCCCCCTCCCCAGCATCTACCCTCCCAAGCAGTTTTGGCAGCCACAGTTGCTTAGACCAGGCCTGTGGCCTGTGGTGGCAATGGCTTGGGGCAACAAAGAGTGCTCAGACTCTGCCTGTCTGCAGTGGGGCTGCCCACTGGGCCTCCCCAGTGGCCCTTGCACCTATAGAGATGCCAGGTGAGGACAGAGCCCAATGTGGAGGTGCAGCTGCCACCCCTTCCTGGTAGCAGATGCACCTACACTTGGGGTGTGGGGGGAAGGCATTGGGCATCTGTGCCCGTGATGGATGTTTAACTCACTCTTTCCTTCCTGGGGCTGTGTGAACTGGAGACATGAGCTCACTTTTCTTGGTGAGAAAATGAAGTGCTCGCTCATGTTCAGGAAGCGAGTCGCAGTCTCTGCAGAGCCATCTTGTTTCCCGGGCCAGCAGAGGACGATGGCTGTTATGGGTTGCATCGTTCCCTACTCCCCCAGTGCGGGTGTTGAAGCCCTAACCCCAGTAGCTAGGAATGGGGCCTCCTTTGGAAATAGAATCTTTGCGGATGTAACTAGTTAAATGAGCCCAGTAGTGCTGGGCCTTAATCCGGTATGACCGACGTCGTTCCGACAAGGGGAGATTTGGACACCAAGCCAGACACGAACACAGGAAAGGCGGTGTGAAGAGAAACAGGGAGAAGACAGCCATCCACAAGCCAAGGGGAGAGTCCTGGGTCAGATCCTTCCCTCACAGCTCTCAAAGGGAAGCAACCCCCATCTCGGACTTGCAGCCTCCAGGACTGTGAGAAAATACATTTTGATTGTTTAAGCCCCCACCATGTGTGGTACTTTGTTACAGTAGCTTTGAAAACTAATATAATGGCCAAAAGTGCATACAAAGAACCTTTCTTGAAATCCTATTTTCTTTTCTTTTTTTTTTGAGTTGGAGTCTCACTCTGTCGCCCAGACTGGAGTGCAGTGGCCGCTCCCGGCCACCGCAGCCTCGACCTGCTGGGCTCCGGCGATCCTTCCGCCTCAGCCTTCCAAGTAGCTGGAACTACAGGGGCGCGCGACCACACCCAGCTAATTTTTGATTTATTGTAGAGATGAGGTCTCGCCAAGTTGCCCAGGTGGGTCTCGAACCCGCGGGCTCAGGCAATCCAGTCACCTCGGCCTCCCAAAGGCGCGGGATTACAGACTGAGCCACCGAGCCCGGCCTTGAAATCCTGTTTTCACTGTTTTATCCCTTGGTGACCTGGGGTGAGTTACTTGACCTCTTCACGCTTCAGTTTCCTGTGAAATGGAGAACAGACCCAGCCTCTGGGGATGTGGTGACAGTTACGGAGAACGAATGCAAGGAGCTAGAAGGGTGTGTGGCAGGAAACTGGGTTCGGGAACGAAAGATGGGAGGTGGCGAGGTGGCAGGGCTCTGAGTGTCTGTCCTCTTCTCCTTTCTCAGTGGCCCTGCTTCCTGCCAGCATCTCCTCTCCTGAGGCCCTTCCCTGTTTGTGTCCTTTGCCTGACGCGATCCGGCCTCTCCCCTCCTTCCCAAGGGCATTCTCCCACCTCTAACCTTGGCCTTTGTTTCCCATTGCCCACTGGACCAGGTGCCTTCTCACCTTCTTGCTGGCTCTCCCTTCAAATCTCTCAAAGCCAGTCCTGGTTACTCCTTCCTTGGCCAGGTGTTCCCCTTGACTTTTGCATCTTCTTGAGTCACATAACTTTCCTCTCAGAGGATGTTATTCCAAGAGAGTGTCCTCAAATAGCTTTCCTGGCCCTAGCCCTGCAAATGTCTTCTCGGATGCTTGTCAACACTCTTCCTCCTCAACTGACCTGGGTGGAAATTTATTGCTACCCCATGTGGGCAATCCTGCTCGTTCTCCTGATCCCTTGGCCACTGGGGTAGGTACCAGTTTGATACAATCAGAGGCGTGAAAACTGTTATCTACCTTTCTACTGCCTTTCTTAAAGCCCTGTCTTAGCCCAGGCTAGCCTGCTGGAGGATGAGAGGCCACAGGGAACAAAGTCACCGTAGACCAGACAGCTGCAGGCTGATCGCAGGTGCACGAACAAGCCCAGCTCGGCCTCACCCACGTCAGCAGACCCTGCCCCCTCAGCCTGCTCATAGACTCGAGAAATAAATGGTGATAGAGCAAAACAACTCATTTTGGGGTGTTATGTACTGCCTGCTACTCTACCCTACTGTTCACTTTGTTTTGGACACAGTCTTCGTGAACGTTGAGTTCTGTCTGAACATGCTGAGGCACGTCTTTCTCCTATCCAATATTGTTTGGCACGCCACTGTTTTACTTCCAAGAAAATTGCTGTATTAGCAGTTGAAATTTAAGTGCCAGAGATACTTGTAATCAAGTCATTCTGATCTGTGTACACTTGTAGAGTTTACCAAGAAGTAGTTAGAGCTGACTTTTAACAAACCTATAGGCATCACTAAGCGTCATTTTTTTTTTTTTTTTACTGCTCTGGCATAAAGTGGCTGTCTCAGTGGCAGAGACTTCGTCCTTAGCTGATGAGTCCTGAATGTGTCGTTGAATTCCTTAGACCTGAGATCACATTTATAAATTCTTAGAAATAAAGTCACACTTGACCCAGGAATGAGCCTGTTAAGTTCAGGAAGGGCACCCACTTTAGCCAAGGGTGGACATTGGTCGGGGCCTCCCACCAGCCTCAGTGGGCTCCCAGCCCAAGAAGGCTTTTGTTTCAAGTTAGAGACACTCTTTGGAAAGCCCTGCTCCCTAAATAGGTCAAATTTCTTAAATTTTTAAGCAAAAAATTGCCCTCATATAGTAGACGTTTTTTAAAAAATGCGCACAGCTCTTTTCCTGTGCTGTGTTCACGGTGCTGCTGTGTCCAGAAAGATATTCATTTTGTTATACAAAGTTGAATTTGTTAGACGATCAAATAGTCTTCTCTTGCTGAAGGCGAACAATTTGAACAATCACCAGTTCAGTGACACATTAAAAATGTACTGTGCTTGAATTTGTCTTGTTGGGAAATAAATGTTTTCTATGTAAAACCGAGCAGGTAACTAACTGCTAACCACTCTTCTGTGGTCCATGTTCACGAGTGGAACCCGGGGGATGTAGTGTGTGAGGAACGTGAGTATCATCATGGCCGTCGGGGATCTAAGCCTCTGGACAAGCCAAGGGTGCTGGGGGTGAGAGGGCGGGACCACACGGAGAACTCTGGAGTCAGGTACTGGGTGGGGTGAGGAGAACACTCGCGTGAGTCTCAAGGTCTGCAGAATGAATTTGTTTTCGTATGGTTGTGAAGGTGAATGAGGCAATGTGGATATAGGATTTAGCAGCTATGTGGTAGAAGTTATAGGTATTAAATGGGATATTTTAGTGAACCAAATCTCAAACAATATTTGAAACAAGGTTTCTAATCAGTTCAAAAAGAGTCGGATTAACGTATGGCTACCATAGGGCTCTAACATGGGGGAAAAAAAAACTACTGTTACTCCATCTTGGATGTAGGTAGAAGCTCTTATGATCAAGATTTGGAAGGGCATAAAATTCAGGTGTACCTGCAGACATTCAAATGAACTATTTCCAAAACAATAGGTGATTAAAGTAAAGGATTTATTGTAATCTGCTTACAGTCCTTTGCAAAGACAGACATATGTTTTTGCATAAAGATATAAATTGCTTCATTTTAAACTAATTTTAGTGTTTTTTTAATTATATGAAGTTTTGGTGAATTATGAATTGTACCAAACCAAGATTTTTGAGAGCAATATGGTACAAAAATAAGAGCAGACAGACTATTTGGACTGGGACAGGCATTCAACAGTGAATTTAGAATATGGCTTTGCTGTTTAATCAAGCAAAGTTACCTGGAGACACACGATGAGCCAGTAACTTTGTTAATACAAAAAGCTGATACAGAGCGTCTCCATCCCAAGCCTGGTCAAGTCAGAATTCCCATTTTGGAAAAAGCTATGTCTGAACTCAAAGCTGCTTTTGGAAGCCATTTCTTTCCCAGAAACTCCTAGTCTGCATGCCGTGGGTTTCTCACCTTCGAAGTGTGGCTTTCATATTGCTGTGCATGTGAGTTGACTGTATTTAAAGATCTGCCTATAAATTAAATTCCTGAAATTGCAAATTATGTCAGAAAAACTCCTCCCTCTGAGTGCAGCGCCCCCAGGTTTCCCCTTGCATAAGGCAGGTGTCTTCTGAAAGACAAAGTAATGTTGCCCGCATGGTGAACCCTGGAGAAAGTGTTGATCTGACTGCTGCCTTCTCCTGGCCTCGGGCCTCTCCAGCTGTAGCTTTTAGGTTTTGGAAAATCCTGCGATTTCACTGAGTACCTGATGATTATCATCACTTTGCAAAGATTAATTTGGCCTCTATCCCCAAGAAGTTTATTTAGTGCAATCATATTGTTAGTTTCCCCAAAGATATTGATGTCTGTGATTTGGGGCCATAGAAAAGCCATCCATTGCATCAGTGCCGGACAGATTAATGAATTAAAAATTTGAGTGCCACTGTCTTGCTTATATGATCTGTAGTTTTGTTTTGTTTTTTCTCCAAAACTGTTTACATATAAAATTTATTTTTAAAACCTACCTTTTAAAAATCTAAAAACCCTCTAATGATCTCCCAGTCTCCACACTGTTCAGACTGAACCTTGCTGAGATGGGCCGTCCCAGTGCTTTCTGTCATGCTCTGCGTGTTCCCATGACTGGATCCAAGAGCTCAGGACCCCTTTCCAAGATCAGAAGGGAAATAGCTGATCTTTGACAGAGAAAGTGCACGGATTTTTTTTTTTTCTTCCCCCCACCAGGAGAAAATCTGATTTTCTAAGATGGGAGGAAAGCATGCTCTCTGAGCCATCGATTTCCCAGTGTCACTGTCCTAGTGCCGGTTCTGCTTCTGCAGGAAGAGGGAGAAGAGGCAGCTTTCCTAAAGCTGCAGCACTCCCTGGGCCTTCTCTTCCACGCATGTCACCAAGTGACACCTTCAAGGAGCTGCAGACACTGCAGTGTGGTGTTCCCCAATGGACTAGGATGAAGCAGAAGCCAGCAAACGTGCTCAAGTCGCACAAACACCCCGAGTGGGAGACCAAGAACAAAACAAAAAAGTACAGAAAAACGTAGAAAGGCTTAGAGACAACCAAAGAGGTTTCAGTGTGGTTATTTACAACAGAGACTGTAAAATGGTAAATTAGATATGAAGCTAAAAAAGGCACAGCTCTCCCTTTCTTAAATACACTGTAAACGGTTCATTGTGCATGCAGAACATTTCACTTTACAAAAAAAAAAGTTTTACCTTGTTTGTTTAGACAAAGATAGTACTTAAATAGTCTCCAGCAAAATAGAATTCTTTCAAAAATACTTTCCCATTCATCCTATTAACCATTAAAGATTTGTTTTGTATGTGTCTCATTTACAAAAGATCCTTATACCTTATTTCAGGTCCTTCACAATTTATACATACAGTAATGTACAGCACAGCAAAAGACTGCAAAAAATTATTTGTAAAGCCAACACAATAGATACTAGAAATCGAAACCAAGGCATTTGTTTTAACATCTTATCCATTCTAATTAAATAATAAATGGACGCTAATGAGTGTGTATACCAGTGATGCAGAGGATCTGGGGATGGGGCCGGCGAGAACCCCAGGGGGCTGCTTTCCCCCGCCACGTGTTCTGTTATTACACAACAGGAATCTGTATATATTTTTTCTTTTTTTGTGTTTTTTTAAATAACAAAAGAATATTAATGCCCCATATTGACTATACGTTTTATGTGCAAACCAAGGGTAAGCTTTTAAAAAGTTCGTTAGTCCTTGAACCCTTTTAAAACAAGCAAACGATACCAGAAACTACATGGCATAGTTAAAACTTCCATCTGTTAAAATATCAAAATCAGAGAGTTATTGACTAGATATGGCTTTTCATCCAGAGGAACAGGAACAGGTTTCTAAGCGCTGGACCTGGAGAGGGGAGCATCCTGTGGACCGCTGGGGCCCTGCCAGATCCTTGGAAAACGGCTCACCCAGCTCCAACCCCCCGACATGACTTTAAACTTGAGAAACTGCTGAACACATGTGAATCGACCAGCACAGGTTAAAAAGACGATTTCTCGGGTCCTTCGTGGGTGTGGAATCACCCGGGGAAACTTAAGGCAAAGTTCTCCTGGCGACGCGGCGCCCGTCACTTCCTGTGGAAGTACAGTGGCTTGGCATTCCCCGACTCCACCTTGGGCAGCTGGTCGCTGATGATCTCCACCAGCATGGCGGGGAACTCCACCTTCAGGGCCTGGGACTCTCGGAAGGTATAGAAGCAGAACTCCAGCAGGTCACTCACCAGCTGCAACACACAGGCACAGAGAGGGGTGTGACACGGGGCCTCCCTTCTGTCCCTGGACCCCTCCGCATCCTGATGCTGCTGTGAACTCCAGAAGCAACGTTCAGAAGAGTGACCAGAAGGCCACGTCTAACTAGCTTGCTTTGTCATCTGTCTTAGGGGAGGGGAGAAGGGTGCTCATGTCACCTGTCACGTAATATGCCTCCGGTGGAAAACAAATTCAGGCAAGAGCGAATTTGCTTTTTTCTGTTGTTGTTTGTTTGTTTGTTTTTTGTTTTAAAGCAGAAAAAAATGCTTTATTTTTGGAAAATGCTACCCAAGGGCCTGTTGCAATTCAAAATATTTTGGAGAAATTGATACTTGCTAGACTAGTAGCAGTAAAGGCAGTGAGCATTAATATTTGACTCTTTAGTTGATCTGGCCAGTTAGAGTAATCCATCTTTCAGACATCAATGATTGGTTAAAGATTGAGAGCAAAATGCCAAAGTGCTCCAATTTCTGTGAATTCTGGGGGTTGTACTGGAGATACCAGAAAGATTCTGGGAAACACAAATCTGCGATAACTCATGACTGAAGGTTCCAGCAGCCATGTTAACACCTTGTGGAACCTGAAATGTTTGTTTTTTGAGTCGGGTCTCACGCTGTCACCTAGGCTGGAGTGCAGTGGCATGAACATGGCTCACCGCAGCCTCAACCTCCTGGGCTCAAGTGATCTTCCCGCCTCAACCTGAGTAACTGAGACTACAGGTATGCGTCACCACACCCAGATAATTGTTTGATATTTTCGTAGAGATAGGTCTTGCTATGTTGCCCAAGTGGTCTCAAACTACTGGCCTCAAGCAATCCTCCCACCTCAGCCTCCCAAAGTGTTGGGATTACAGGTGTGAGCCACTGTGCCCAGCCAAGGGCTAATTGTTAAGCACTGACTATCTCAGAGGCAACAGGGACAGTGATAGTTAACTGTGCCTGGTTGGCTGAACTGCTCTCATCAAATTCTGATGTCTAGATGTGTGAAGACGTGTGTGTCTTTGTATACTGGTGATGGGCCTTCCCACTGGAAGGTGCACTGGCTGGATGGGCAGGGGCTGGCTCAGGGTCTGTGCATGGCAGACGTCCAGGAGGGTGAGGAGCAGGACAGAGTGCCTTGCAGGCAGGTATGGTGTCCCCCGCAGCTGGGCCTCGCCAATGGAGCTGTGACCAAGGGAGTGGCCAGCACTCCCACCCTCAGCCCCAGCCCTCTTTCCCACCTTCAGGCTTCCTTGGCCATGGTCTCTTTCAGGCTGATTCTGAGAGAGCAGAAAGCCTCAAGGATAAGTTCTGGATGTTTCTCTGGCCCATTTTCCCTGCTCTGTGACCCAAGGACCTTCCCTTCCCCCACCCTAGCCTGAACTACCCCCGATTCTATAAAACAGTCATAATGAAGTCGGCATTACTGGTTGCCATTCCATTGACTAGGAACAGAACTTCAAATCAGGAAAAATGCACAATTTTTTTTCTTTAGGTAAGTCCATACCCCATTGTGGGAAAAATGACTTTTGGTCATTTCCCACTGTAGTATAGAGACAATGTTTAACACGCCTGCCAGAAAGTAACTGTATCGTCCCAATAAAGTGATTCTGGTGAAATTACATCTGTTAACTTTCCTTGGTGATTTTTTACAAAACTGAATTAGCAAGCTTCCGTTGAGTCAGATGGTTAATAACTGCGTGTAAAGGCCTTCAATATAAGCCAGGAATCAAGGAGGTCTCAGCGGAGAAAACAGTATCTGGTGCTTCTGCCTGCACCTGTGTCATGGCCCTTGGTCTGCAGAATGATATGTCCCTGAGGAGGTTCTGAGGACCATGAGATTTAATGTACATTCTGCACCCACAGGATGTTGGGGCCAAGGAAGCTGGGAAACAGCACAAAACACCATCCTTTGGGGACATTGTCATGTTCATTCACACGTGCTTGCCTTGTGAATTCCATGTCTCAGTTTCCCCATCCATAAAATGGGGATGACAACAGTATCTGAGCCTCCGAGTTGTTTCAGAGGACTGACTGGGTGACCCAGGCAAAGTGGTTTCTTACTTCCCCCTGCATAGACCAAGCACTGCAGGGCAAGAGAGAATAGAGGGAGGTGCTGTTCAGAGGGGCTCTCGGAAAAGGTGGGCTTAGACGTGACCCAGAGGAGGCAGGAGACAGGGCGAGTGGCCATCAGGTGACCAACAGGGTCCCCTAGGGAGTTCCTGAACAGTGGAGAAGGCTGCTAGCTCACTGACTGACATCCCAAACAAGTCACATGCCAGAGCCACGGAAGGGTACATGTCTATACACAGGTGACAGCAGCACTGACACGTTCATAGGTGTGAGAAGAGAAGGAGTGAGGTAAGTCGATGCCTGCACAGGTGAAACTGCTGCTGGGGACAGACCCCAAGCCTTCTCGATGCCTCTGTGCCGATCTGTGACACCCGCATCAGTGTGTCCACGGCACTGAATATCACCTAGGAGATGCTGAGGAAACAGACCAGAATGGAGAGGCCAGGGTTGGGGGCTCGGCTGTTTTTCCTCTCAGGTTGGCTGGGGACAGGTGTCCCAGACACTATGCACTAACCATGCATATTAACCTGGGGCTGGCATTTCCCACCCACCTTTGTTCCATGTTCCACAGATGGAGAAAGCAGCTCATTCCCAGGCATGAGCTGACACTCAGGGCTTCTGTTGGCACCTCGGTCAGTGGCAGAGGATGGGGCCTTCCTAGGAATGTAGGCCTAGCTTCAGAGCCAGCACATGGGGTTGGCCTAGTGGCCAGGGGCTGGGCGTTTGATTCTGCAAGCATGATGTCCCCCGAGGGGGATGTATCACCACCAACCGCTTCCAGGGAAGGGCTCAGCCTTTGCTGCTGCGTGGCTAGGATGCTCACAGAACTGGGTTGCAGTAGGTCTCAGTGCCGCCAGAGGTGCTGGCTACCATACAGGCCTGCCTGGCCCGCCCTGCCCTGGGACAAGACTGGAAACCTCTGCAGGCTTCAACCCTGAGCCATGACTGCGGTTGGTGAGGTCAGGGATCATTCCTGTGAATTGTAGCCAGGTGTCCCCAGTCACTGGGCAAGAAGAACAGAACCCTCTCACCGCCCACACCCAGCCCCGGCCTGCTACGGCCAGTGGGTCAGGGGGCCTTCAGGGCATGACCCACCAATGTCTGGCCTTTAGCAGCAGGGAAGACCCAGGAACCCACAGAAGTGGCCGAAGCTTGCGCCATTTGAAATGCCAGGCTGGGTGGAGAGGCAAGCACCTTCATTATAATCAGCAATAAGAGCTCGCATCATTAGGAATCAGAGTGACTTGTGCACCGACTTTCCGTTCTGCACAACATGCATCTGTTGGGATCATAGAAGTCTAGCAGACACCCAGCACAATTCCTCCAGCCTGATGGGCCACAGCTGCCAGGGTGGAACAGGAGCCCAGCAAGGTCACAGGGTGACCGATGGCACTTGGCTCACATGGACGGTGAGGCCATTAGGCTCTCTCTCTTTGTGCCTTTTCCCTAGTCCCTTCGAGTCATCACCTGTGGCAGGCCAGCATCCCGAGGTGCTGTCCCCACGCTCTGCTCCCACCGCGGCGACAGTGCCTTGGGATGCCTTGCCCGGAGGGTCTCCTTCCTGCCACACATTTGGGTTGGCTGCTGCTGCTCTGAGGTTCCCCAGTCACAGAAGTGGCAACGGAGCCTGAATGATAACAGCCTCTCTAAAGCAGGTCCCACGTGATTTCAAGAGTGTGCTCATTTCTTGCACGTTATCTGCTGACTCCAGAATGTTCACCTAATTAGGAAGGCGCTTTTGCCTGAAATGAGTACTGTGGGTGAGGTTGGAAGTTTTATTTTCAAGGATCGGAAATTTAGTCAGCCATACTGATGGAGTTGGGGTAAAAGACACATAGATTCAACTGTAAATACACCAGCACTAATCGTTCCGCTGGACACAAATGCCGAGCGACTATTTAGTCCAGGTGTTCCAGAAATAGCCTTGTGAACACTGGAAAATGACCTGCAGTGATTATATAAGGCGTCTGGGATTCATTCAAAACAAAACAGGTTTATTCTTAGATATGACACCAGAAGCACAGGTAACAAAGGAATAGAAAAAGATGACTGTATTAAAATCAGAAACTTATGGGCATCAAAGGATACTATCAAGAGTGAAAAGACAACCCACGGAATGGGAGAAAATATCTTCAAACCATGTATCTGGTAAGGGGTTAATATCCAGAATATATAAAGAGCTCCCACGACTCAACAACAAACACACAAACTGAGTAAAAATGGTGAAAGGTCTTGAATAGCCATTTCTCTAAAGAAGACATACACATGCCCAATAAACACATGAAAAAAAGTGTCTAGTCATTGGAGAAATGCAAATTGAAACCAAAACTACAATGAGGTAGCCCTTCATACCCATCAGGATGGCTATTATAAAAAAAAAAAAAAAAAAAAAAAGGAAAATAAGTGTTGGTAGAATGCAGAGAAACTGGAACCCTTGTACACTGTTGGTGAAAATATAAAATGGTACAGTTCTTTGACAGTATGACTGTTTCTCAAAAAATTAAACAGAATTACTATAAGATACAATGTTCCACTTCTGGATATATACTCAAAAGAACTGAAAGCAGGGATTTGAACAAACATGTATACATCACTGTTCATAGCAGTGTTATTCACAATAGCCAGAAGGTAGAAACGACTTAAGTGGCCATGACAGATGAATGTATAAACAAAATGTGGTATAAACACATAAAGATATATTACTCAAACACAAAAGCAACTGGAATTCTGACACGTGCTACACCATGGATGTCCCTCAAAAACATTAAGTGAAATAAGCCAGACATAGAAGGACAGACGTATGAGTCCACTCACACGAGGTATCTGGAGTCATCAAATTCATAGAGACAGAGAGTAGAATAGTGTTTGCCAGAGCAGGAGAAGCTGGAAATGGGAACTAGTGTTTAATGGGCGCAAAGCTTTTG